GTGCATCGATGGGAAGGGGGGGGTGGGGCGGGAGGGAAGGGGGGGCCTGTGGGACGGCCGCGGTGCAGCAAGGGAGGCGTGGCCACGTGCATTCCGGCGAGGGGGGCATCGGCAGGGCGGGAGCCGCGCGTCTCGCGAGAAGTGCGGCGCCTGCTCTGCTATTGAGCTCCTGCAAGGAGAGCGGGGAGGAAGGCGATCGGGGAAAAAAAAAGAGGCGGGAGCTGTCTCCATGCAGCCATTGCCTCCTTTTCCCGCCTTCTTGCTCCGTGGGGCGGTAGCCCTTTCGCCGGTCCTCTTCCCCCCATCCGTTGGGAGTCATTTGCGCTCAGCCCTCTGTCCAACCCTAAGGCTTTTGTGCTTTCCGTAAACATGATGTAATGGAGCGCAGGAAGCAGTTTTGGGTTTAGTCGCTCCTGGCTTATCAGGCTTTGCATTCCCCTCCCCTCCCCCTTGCAGTTTAATGGCTGTTTTATCTTGGTGGCTAGCTTCTCATGCCAGGATGAGTAAGAGATGTGTTCCTAATTGAGTTGACTGAAGGGGTTGCGGCAAATGGTTCCTGGGAAAGCTGCTTCTAGGGGATCCTTGGATCATAGTTCTGAGTATGGAGTTGCACACCTAAACTCTGCCTTCCTGCAGAGGTATCTCCAGAATTGAGTATCTGCCATGTTGGCACACAATCCGGTGAGAAATAAGAGTTCTCAGCTTTAGATTTCCAAGGTGTGTGCTTTCTCATCATTTTCCTCGTTCTCTGTTTGGCTTGATCTGCATGTGCCACAACTCTAGGCTTCTCACCTTGTTCATTTTTACTCATTCCTGTGTGAACCCTATTTGCTAGTTTGCCTGGATGATCTTCATGTTCTTCACAAGCGCAGTTTTAGGTTGATTTGTTCTTAAATCTTGTTTCTCCAAGTTTTCAAGGCAGCCTCTGAGGCCCTGGCTACGAGTGGAAACCTAGATTCAAATACCATTGCATTACCAGGCTGCTATATCTATTTGCAGGAGTTAAAATTGTTACAGGAGGCGTACGTGGAGATGTATCTGCAGCAATAATTTAGGCACACAAGTGCTGTACTAAGGAGCGTTTTATAGGTCATCTTGCCGTCAAAGAAACATTTTTCTACTGCCTTTATTTAAATTCCCCATTTTCTTTCCCAAATTCCCCAGTTTCTTGCCCTAGGCTTGGAGTTATCTTTATCAACAGTGTGGATGTGGGGAGACTTGAGCAAACCACCTATTTTCTATACTCTTGGTATAGAAACATTTGTATCCTCTTGAGACATTCAGTCAAGAAAAATGTAGTTTCCAGCAGTGGCAAGTCTGCATGCAGGGTCCTTCCATCTGTGCTGGATCAGTTCCAGATTGTTTATAAAGCAATTTTTATTTGATGAAATCCTTTGATGTTTTTTTCTTGCAATCAACGTTTGGGCTTGTTCATTCCCTGATCTATATTATTATTTACACAGTACACAAGATTAAAGGAATGTTATGAATAACACAATACTAGGAAAGTGACCCCCCATAACCTGTTTTTGTTGGTACAAGCAGGCTAACACAAACAAATGCCCAGAAACCCACAACAAACTTTAGTAGATCATTCACTTGAGATGCTAGCCCCATTGCAGGCCTGATATTCCTAGGTACCACTTGCATACATCAGAGAAGCCAGGTACTTTCTTCCAGCCTACTGTGAACTTTTCTTACCTTAGTGTAATTGGAAGTGAAACCATCAGACCTGTCTGGATTTCTGGCTTTGCTTGCTGATTCCCAGATGAAAACTTGCTGACTTCAGGGTGTTCTTTTTCTGTCTTAGTGCAGAATTTCCCTGTCTGGAGGAAATTGTAGTAAGGTTTGGTCTGGTTTAGGAGCACTCCCCTAGCACTTCAATGCAGTGGACACACCTTGGTGGGCATGTCTGGTAAGGACCTTTTGCAGCAGTCTAGAGCTATACTTTTCTTCTGTTCTCTCCCCAGTCTGCTAGTACTTTTATCCCTTGCTTTTCATAAGCTACAGTTCGTAGACCCTAAAAAGCAATAGTGAAAAGATTTTGGAACTCAGTCTGGTGGTTGGCTCCTCCAGGTGCCCTGACTGGGTTATGCAGGCTGTGTATAGGTACCAAATTAGGATGTGGGCATAGGAAGACAAACCTTTGGCTCATACAGAGATGTTCAGCAGCTGATCTGGAAAAGTTCTAATGATCAGTACCAAGCAGGAAAACATTTTAGGCAGTGTTCCTGAGTAAAGATTTTGTATTTCTCTAGGGACTGTTGGGGGCTGACTGTCTCATACCACCATTTATGGGCAGGGGTGTGTGTATATATGTACATGTACATATATTTTTGCTTTGTCTTCATTAGGTGTCAGTGAGTGAAGCAGGGCTCTTGGTTGCCAGCAGTTGAAGGGAAGGTGCATCAGTTCTTTAAGGTCCATAACCTCTAATTTAATGGACTAACCTTAATCTTGTGCAGAGGTACTCCAGCCCAGTAATTTCAGGGGAGCTAACTGGGGTGTCTCTCACTAGAATTGTGCCCTTCATGCTTTCAGTCAAGTTAAGGCTTGCAGAATCTGCGTTGCCCAAATACAACAGCCTGGATTTAAAAAACCCACTCATTATCTTACGATTAGCCCCCTCTAATATTTTGTTAGGCACCCAGCCTATTGAGTTCTGAAGAAGTCAGAAGGTGCGCAGGTTTTGGGTTGTTCTTCAGATACTGAAGCAACTTCTGGTTTCTTTCTTTCTTTCTTTTTGCATTTTGTTTTGCAGTTGCCTGCAGTACCCTATATCTAGAAAACCCAAAGTGGGAGAATCTTCAGCATCATTCTCTGGTAGCTGGTGGTATTCTTGCTGTGAGCCAATCTTATTGGATACAGTAGTGGAAACATCAGAAGGGTGTAGTGTTTCATGATTTATGGGGAGAGGTTTTTGGTAGTGTTTCATAATAGGAACCAGAGCGTAAGGGAAGCTCGGTTTCCCAACAGTGGATATGGATTTTTCATTATTCTTTCATATAGCTGGAGTACCAACCTTTGGTTGAGGACAGCAATGTTCGCCTTGGCTGGCACCCTCAGTTTTCCATGCTCGGTTTAACCCCCCCCCCCTTGTGAAACGGCCGGCAGTCGAAGATACTAGCCGCCATTTGTTTTTTCTAATAAATGTAATTTAATATATTCTATTGTTTTGTTTTTTCTAATAAATGTAATTTAATATATTCTATTGTTTTGTTTATTGTCTTTAATATTATGTACATCGCTCAGAGCCCTATGATAGTAGGGGTGGGGTGATTCATAAATTTAATAAATAATAAAATAATAAAACCTCTTGCTCTGATTTAGGTGCATGAGCACCTATCTTTTTTTACTGACATTCAGTATTTGCTGAGGGGAAAGATAACTTCTGAAGTTCTGAAAAATAACTTCTGAATAATGTTGAAGGATGCTGTGTCTGAATGGGTACTGTACCCAGCTTTGGGAAGAACTGAAACACTGAGACTAAATCCTGGATCTCTCTGGTCAGCCAGGATGCTGCAGCCAGTCTAGCTAAATAAGAGCTAGTGGTCAAGTGGGGGGGGGGGAGTGTGCATCTCAATGTTGGGTACTGCTTCCTGCACCCAAGATGAAAAGTGTTACTGCAGTGGGGAACCCACAAAAATGTGCTAGCAGCTATGTACCGCATACTTGAAAGTCAGTCCACATGCAAGCAGAAGTTGACTTAGAACTGCTCATGATATACTGAGGGTAGATTTCAGCTTGTTTTAGGAAGCTAATCTAAGTCAGTGGCTACTTTTTCATTGTCACAATGCCAGTGGAAAACAGGAAACCTGTCCTTGTCCAAAATGATCTTCTGCCTTAAGGTATGCTATCTTTTTGGCAAGTTTGTTGAAAAAGTTCTTATTTTAATAAGGTCCCTGACCATTTCCAGCCTTAGTCCTGAGTTTTTGTGCTGATGGAATGTAGTGGGAGTTGGTCTTATCAGCAGTCTTATTCTTTCTCCCAAGCTTGTCTCAAGGGCCAATTGGTATGCCTTCAGTTGTGCAAAGATTTAGCTTCCCCCGCCCTCCCATTCTGAGAAGCGTTTCTCTTCTACCTAATGGTTGTCGATTGTTTGCTTTGTAAAGTAAATGAGGACAAGATGGGGGAGAGAATTAGGGGGTGGGGAATGATGCTTCACTGTATTCATCCTCTTATACCCAAGCATCCTCTTATACCCAAGACATCCTGCTGTCTTTCATCGGTCATTTTTTTTTTACTAATTGGTAAGCTGGCTAGAATAGATGAAATGGCAGCTTCATTGTCTTCACACCCCAAAGTAAATCTCCCTTTGCTTAATTTGAAGGTCGCAGGGCAGTTGTTTGAATTTGAAGGTGGGAGGGTTATTTGAGTTGCAACTTTGTTTAATTAAATGGACTAAGTTCTGTCTAGGTTTTTGTGCTGTGGTGTCCAGAGGAGCTTCAGAGATTCAATAATCAGTAGTTGCCACATTTAGCATCAGGCCGTACACAAGGGAAGGAAAGGATTTTTCTGGCCTATGACAACGATGCCTTGCTACTTACAGTGCTTAGTCTTTCTTTTTTTTTTGCACACAAATTTTGAACAAGTTTACTGTTTGTGCATATGGTGGTATTAAGCAATATTCTGGGTTTGCACCCAGGCTGGGATCTGTGAGATCCAGGCTTAAGAGTACCTAGTATGCCATGGAAGCTCGCTGGGTGACTTTTTGGCCAGGTACTCTTTCCACTTAACCTACTTAGCAGGGTGGTTGTGAAGATAAAATGGAGGTGAGGAGATAGTCTTCTGGATCTCCACTGGGGAGTTGTGTACAGACTGCTGGAAACCTGTCCTGGACATTCTTGTAAGCCCTTTGAATGGTGAAAACAGTGACCTGGTAGGGATTAACATCAGTTGAACCCCCTAGTATATCATTTCATAGTAACTTCTTAATGCATGCATATCCAGTGTTAGAGGTTCTCACCACCAACCCATTGTTTACTGCTTATATTTAGTGTAAGAAAGGCATGCAGTTGCCAGGTGTAGGAATGCCTCCTGATCAGAACGCAGTCTAAAAGCAGAAAAGAAGGTTCATGCCAAAGCAACCTTCCTTAAGTGGGGGGATGATGTCATGCCTGGCCCAGGGCCATTGTTTGGAAATGCTCTTCTTTGGCAGTGGTCCTCAGAATCAAAGGAAATGCAGTAAAGCAACTCATTTTTAGAATAGTAAAAATACCCTTGACAGATTTCACATTATAAATGGAAATTAAAAAGTCTCACTGTCCTTGTCTGTTGTGAAGGCTCAGAGTGGAATATGACATACAGTCAAGCCAAGATTGCGGAGATAAAGTGGATGGCCTTTTGTCTTTTATAACTGCTTACAGCTCTTCCAAACTTCCTCCAGCACATGGAACTTCCTGTTGCACCTGGTAGCCTGGGGATACTTTACATCTCTCAGTATAGGTCAGCTGCCTTCTTCAGACAGCCTTTTCTGGGCAGTGCCATGGTTGTGGGCTCTTCCTGTACTAGCTCTCCAGTCCTTTGGAATGCCTTGGCAGAGAGGGTGTGTAGGGTTGCCTTCACTTTCTGCATTCAGGAAGGGTCATTTCAGAGAGCAGTGAGTGGAAGGTAAACTGTTTGGGCAGGTTTGTTGTGCGTCGTTTGTCTTTATTTTGTTGGTGAATTGTTCGTGTTTATGCGTTTGCAGTTTGCTATTACATTGTTAGCTGCCTTGAGTGTCAAGATGGGATAAAATATTTCAAATTATTGCTTTTGGAAGACACCTGAGGACAGTAAGTGGCACAGTATGGTGGCTCGTGCCTAGTCCAGGAGGGACGGTCAGTAAGAGTACTTGCAATAGGGGTCATCTGTCATTTTTCTGCTCACATTGCACAAAAGAATATTTCTCCTGCTATTCCTGCTGTCATTCTTTCCCACTGGATAGGAACACAGTACCTTGTTGGGTCTAACTCTGGTCAGCCTTCAGTTCTCTCAGCCAGGTACCTGTGATAAGCTTTCTAGGCCTATTTCTTGTCTCCCACACAAGAAGCCGTCTGCTTTTTACCTGTTCAATGTAGAATCTATTAGTCAGAGGTAGACTATCCCTGAACCTGGAGCCTCCATTTAACTGGTGGCAAATCTGTCCAAGCTATTTTCCATGAAATATGCCCCTCCCCCCAATGTCATATGTAAGCTAATGCAGGCCTTAACAAATTTGCTTGGACTTTAGGAACCAGAAGTTTATTTTTCAGCCTTCGGGGTGTTATATTTTATTGACTCTGTCTTCTCTACAAAATCTAAACCATTACAGTTTCTTGTAATTGTAACTCTGGTTGTCATAAGAAAAAACTAACCTTTATCCTTCACTTAACTAAGCTTTGTACTCCCACTGAGAATCACAAAGAGGCATTTAAAATGAATGACTGCTGAAAATACTAGGTGGCAAAATTAAGTTTTTGGGTGCCATGGCTCCCTGGTGCTTGGGATTTGTTGAGCCCTGTGCTAATGGCCTTTAACACATCTTGTAATGGGGTACTCTGAACAAGTTACATAGGGGTGTGGTTCCTGGGCTTGTGGGGAGAAGGTCATTGAAAACATAAGACCCCCATGCACAATGTAGCTAATCTGAAGCGATATAATCCATTTCATCATCTCAGTAATCGGGTCACCTCCTTCTGCTCCAAATCTTACACCCATGGATGTCAGCTGAGCAGCTGTTCTGGCAGGTTTCTCTTTTAAACTTTACAGTGTGTTGGTTCTTGTGCAATGTTTCCATGAGCACAAGGACCTGCACTCAGAAAGTATGACTTTTGTGGTGCCCTCTTATCACAGCAATCCTAAATAACTCTGGAATCCTGGAGCCCCAGGATTTCAGGGGGCTTTTTGGGCTTCTGCAGGAGTGGTGTATGGAAAAGTACAACATTCCTAAAAATATACATAGAGCACATATTGCGGCGCTAAGTAAATATAGTTTTAAAATATGAGTTTTGTAATGTTTTGCCATGATAGATTATCCAAGATGACCTGGGTACAGTTTTAGTTCATGTAAAGCTATTTTGTATGTTTGAAACACTTTTAGGGCTGAGCAATTAATTATCATAGAACCTTTATTAGGCATTTATTGCAAACCCTAAACCAGGGGTCCCCAACCTTTTTGAGTCCGAGAACACCTTTGGATTTCTGACACAGCATGGTGGGCACAGCGACAAAATGGCTGCCACAGGAGGTGGGAGCAAAATGGCTCCCACAGGTTACTTTCAGTCACACAATGAAGATCCTTGTGCTGTGGTAGCAGCTGCTTTGAAAGCAACATTTAGAAAAAGTGCACAGCCAATCAAATCTCCCATGGCCAATCAGAAGTCTTGCTGGACGAAAGTTCCACCTGGTCCCTTCTATTTTCTAAAAACTCTTGGGCGCAGGAAAGATGTTGGTGGGCACCACGGTTCCCCCGTGTACCACATTGGGCACCCTTGCACTGAACAATCTAAAGTACTGCATAGCCAGGTAGCACAAATATACACAACAGAGAACACGCTTGATAAATGGTCATAAACTTAAGTAGAGATAAAATTCATGATAATTCATGACCAACCCACAGATTCTCATAGCGGCTAGGAAATACCCATCAACTCAATTGTTAATGTAAAGATTCCAATCAGATAAAAGGTATAAAATGAACCATTCATCTGGGTAACCCTGAAATTTGTGTAAGAGGGCGTTGATTATTGAGTTCCTCAGCTCATTATAAAAGCTACAGTATTAGACATCAGGTATAACCTGTGGAGCCCTAGCCCTGCACGGACAGTATGGCTGGGCAGTTGAGTAACTTGTGAGTTTGGTGTTATGGTTGCCTCATTTTAATTTGTATAGTTGTTTTTACTGTAAGTTAACATGAGGTTCCATGAACACAGCTGTGTTTAGGGATATGAAAAACAATCAGATTTGTTGGGCTGACACACTTCAAATTGGTGCTTCAGGCATAGGACATATTCAGCTTCCAAACCATGTTTGAGAGGAAAACAGATTTTGATTTCATTTTGAGTTTTAAAATGGTCAATTCTGTATTTTTAAACTTTTATCTTCCATTGGTTTGTCTCTTCTTGTGATCTGTAGCATTTTTACCTGTTCTATCCTACTTGCATGATGTATCATTTCAAATAGTAGGCAGACAATGAATTCATAAAGCCATAACTTTCTTAGGCTTACAGTGACATATATAATTCTAGAAATGCATTTATTCGAATACTTGAATGCACAGGATACTTGAATCATAATGACCAAAGGCATTTCTTTAGGTCTCAGTATTGAAATCCACCCCCTTTGAATTGATTTCTTTAAAAAGAGAGATATGGCATAGATTTGTTCTGTGTGGGCTCTGTTTGCATGAAATAATATTTACTGGCACCAGGAAGGATTCTCATTGATTACTGAAGGAAATTGTTTTCAAGATTGCCATAAGGATAGAAACAGCCAATAGCACATAATGCCAGTCTACCCATATTGCTGGAAAGGAGATTTTTAAAAGAAAACAATTTGCCAAAAAAATACGCACATATATGTTGCCTGATGGTCCTGTCTCATTCGTCTTTTTACAGTGGTTGACTGTCCTGTGTGCAAGCACCAGTGTTACCTAAAGGATGTAGTGGAGAATTACTTTTTGCGAGATGGTAGCACAGAACCTCTTGGAGATGCAAGAGATGCCAACCAGGTATGCAGTCTTTTCTTCTGGAACTTCTGGTTTCAGTGTGTTTTTGTTTAAGCTTTCTTGGCTTTCGGGTGTTGTCCCTTGGCATTAGTGGAGGGGGCGTGTCTATTCTCTCCTTGATTAACTTAACCACTTAATCTCTCTGAAATCAGTGTTGCACCAGTTGTGAAGACAATGCCCCCGCCACCAGCTACTGCGTGGAATGCTCAGAGCCCCTGTGTGAGACGTGCGTGGAAGCACATCAGAGAGTCAAGTACACCAAGGACCACACTGTCCGGTCTACAGGTAGGGCAGCTGCATGTGGAAAGGTCTGCATGAGCTATTTGTTTTCCTGCTCGTGGACACTGAAATGTGTGTAACCTTCCTCCAAGTTGGTTTGCAGGCAGCCATGCCTGCTTGCAGGCCTGAGGTAGGTGGAGGAACCAAAGCCTCTACATCCCACTGGCCAAAGCCTGCACATATGTGAAGTGTAGAAAACCTTGCAGATGTGTCTTAATGGCTGGGGGGAAAGGTTGACCCTCATTGGGTTGGAGCCTGTGGATTTGTTCAACTAAAGGTAGCAGCTTCCTCTTGGTGCCTTCCTTTGGAGGAATAAGGTACCCTTACTGGAACAAATCCAGAGAGTCTGGCCCATTGGGTCCCACTGGACTCCAGTCTTTTGTTCACCTGAGTGGGTTAATGTTTGCATATGAACAATGGAAGGCTTCTAAGCAGTTGACTGGTGTGATTTCCCTGAATTCATTGGGGAAGGTCCCCTTCTCTAAGTTACTGGTATTTTTCACTGGTGGAGTGCTAAAGTGTCAGTTGTGCTCCCGTCTGTGACCTCTGAAAGCCATATATTATGTGTACTGTTTTCAGATAGATACTGCAGTTTTGGCTTAGGGATCACAGAACCTGTGCAGAATGTTTTATTTGAATGTCCATGGTATAAGGAGGCTAGAGGGAAATGCATCAAGCCAGTTATGTGCCAACAAAATGAGAGCCTCCCCTAGGTATTTTAGTTACTAAAAATTTAGTGGATCCTAGATCAGCAAAATACTCCTATTTTAGCGAAATTCGTTGTTCAGGCCATGAGAGTTCAGGCAGGATGTGACAAGGCATCTTCTCTAATATAGTATAGTCTGCCTGTCTTGAATTCTTTCTTTCTTCTTTTTATTCTTAGCTGAGATGGATTGATACTACTCAAGACCTGTAGGTCAGAGTAGAGAAAGAAAGTAAGCATGGGTTGAGTCAGAAATCAGACCCGAATGAATTGTTAATGGCAAAAAGAGGTGATTAATGTAACATACCAGAGAATGCTTGAGCACATTTCAGTCGGATGTACCAAGAAATGTTAAAAGATAACTTTTGGCCAGGTTTATAATCTTTGGTAGATATTCACCCAAGCTTTTAATGAAGGGGTCTTTTAACACTGTTTTAATGTGCTTTTTGTCTGAAAACTTACTTTAAGCGGCTTAGCGGCTTTTCTTTTGGCTGGATTTTTAGTGCTGCAATTTAATAATTTTGAATGCTTTGCTTTCGTTATGCTTTATTTTGTGAGCTGCCTTGGGCAGGTTCCCTGAAGAGGGCAGTAAAAGTTTTGCTAAATCTGCTCTGCCCCAGAGCCATATCCTTCTCTTAAACGGTTTTCCATCTGCATCTTTCAAGTCCAGTTAAAGTTCTCTGCCACTGAAAAATGGCACAGAGCCTTCAGTAGCAGGGGAAGGCTGAACTCCCCATAGTAGTTGGCATTATGAAGGCATTGTGGTGATCCTAAATGGTAGACACTTACATAGCCTACAGATAGGTTGGCCTTTGATCTTCCTAGGTGCCGCCAAGTCCCAGGAGAGAGAGAAGACTGTCTACTGCTCGGTCCACAAGCACGAACCACTGGTGCTGTTCTGTGACACTTGTGACACCCTGACCTGCCGGGACTGTCAGCTGAATGCGCACAAGGATCATCAGTAAGCATTCTTGTTGGCTACTGTCATACAGTGGTTGAGGCATCAGACTGGGACTGGGGGAGGCCCATGTTCAAATTCCCACTCAGTCTTGAAGTTTACTGGGACACCTTGGGCTACTCTCACTCTTTTCAGCCTAACCCAGCCCACTGGGTAGTTAAGATAAAATGGTAGGGGCCCTCCATTGGGAAAGGGTGGCATGCAAATAAGATAGGTATTGAAATTTGTGGGCCTGGCACCTCATTGAACCAGATGGAAAGGCAGGGTATAGAGGTTTTTAATACATAAATGCCACCTGTTGTTTCATGTGGTCAACCCCAGAATTGGTCTCCCTGTGCTGTTTATCCTCTTAAGGTGTAGCCCTTATGCACGCCCACTTGTAAGTTCTCTTGTTAGAATTTAACCATCAGATAAATGATGAGCAGGATTGGCTACACCTAACTTGAGTGGGCTTCCTGGGCCTGTTTCTGAGTCTCTCCCCCCCCCCCCCCCACTCCCCCCAAACCTCAATCCTGTTGGATTTACGGCAAGGGAAAAGACGCTGCCCCTTTGTGTGTTCATGAAAAGTAAAAGTGGGTGATGCCTCAATATTCTGCAGCTGGCCACTTGGGCAGGATATGATCAGAGCAAGCCACTGTGCCTTGCTCCCTCCTTCTCCCATGTCCAAATTGGTCATGTTGTGATAGTATGCTGTATTTCTGGATGAACAGTAATATGCTATTTATGTGGGACGACTGTTAAAACACTTTTGCCAGGCACTTGAGGACATCCTTTTTTTTAGGTACCAGTTCTTGGAGGATGCGGTCAAGAACCAGCGTAAGATGCTGGCCACATTGGTCAAGCGCCTGGGTGATAAGCATGCCACTCTACAGAAGTCAACCAAGGAAGTGCGTTCCTCGTAAGTAGCTGTTTCTCTGAAGACATTAATGGGGAGAAGCACCAGGGCACTGGAAAGGGTTGTGGGTAATACCAATGTGGAGTTTCTTCTTACAGGAAAAGAATCAGAGTTCTCACTTTCCTGGGCTTGAGCTTGGCTGCCTGGGGTTCTTGAAGTAATAGCAGAGGTTTTCTTCTCCTTGACCCTCACAAGCAGAGTTGGAGAGTCAGTGGGCCTTGATCTCCTTTAGGGGGGAAAACATGTTTAACATTTTTGTTTTGACTGTCAAGGAGCCCAAAGCTAAACCCCATGGCCCCCCAGGGCAGTTGCATGCAAGTGACCAGACCGTTATTATTGTTTTTTAAATTATAATTTCAATTTCTGTCAGTAAGAGAGTTTATTCCATAGCCAACACACTACTCTAATCTTGTAGCAGGAAAACAAGAAAACTAGCTCAGCTGTCACTCTTTAGATTTGTGTTAGACAGCACAAACCTTAAATTCTGGAAAGGCTAAAGCTCAGGTGTTCCCTACATTGCTAGCAATTGCAATTCATGCAGGTCATAGTTCAGGCCTTTAGTCCAACGGGATCGCAGCTAGTCTCTCTTCATCAGGGCCTTAGTTCAATTATAGTTTCCCGTCCAGTAGCCTCAGGTGATGACATCCCATCAGGACACTTTCTTAGAAGAAGCCTCTAGAAGATTACCTCATCTCTCCTGGCACTCATCCCCCTCATCCTACAGGCCGCAGGTTCTCGTGAGAAGCTTAATCATGCCACTTCCATCCCTGGCCTTGAAAATGATAAGACCAAGAGACAAATTAGTAACATGCAAGAAGGACCAGGCCTGTTATTATTCACATTAACCCTTGAGGGGGGAGGCGAAAGGTATTTTGCCTCACAGTGACCCAGCAAAGTGATACTAAACCATTTCAGGAGAAGGGTGCACCATACCTTTTGTAGTGATTAGGCTCACTTCCTGAAAAGAGGCTTGCCCTTCCTGTTTATGGACCCCTGTGGTACTGTTGTTGCTCTTTGTTTGAGCAGCAGCTCTTCACGAAAAACGCTTAAGAGAAAATGGCTGCACCAAAACAATTGTATTGGTTCATCTTCTCCCAACAGGATCCGGCAGGTGGCTGACGTGCAGAAGCGAGTACAGGTAGACGTGAAGATGGCTATACTGCAGATCATGAAGGAGCTCAATAAACGGGGCAAGGTCCTGGTCAGTGATGCACAGGTGAGGCGGGCGTCTTGGGCTCTTGCACAGTTTGTGGCCCAGGGAGTAGGCTGAGCGGGGAGAAATTTGCCTCCATTAAGTCTAGCCTTGACCTGGAAAGCCACGGAAAACATCTATGTATCTGCAGTTACTTATGATTCTAGTCTCTCCTGGGATAGAAAAGGTCAGGAATTTTTTTGAAACTCCCTGCTATTAGCCATGAATTCTTCCCTACAGTTTTCATATATCAGGGAGCTTAAACTCATTGAAATTAGCATAGACTGATAAGGTTATGACTGAAGGACCAGGTATGAAGCTGGTAAATCCTGATGGCTGATTTTGGAGCCAGGATAAACTCAGCCAAGTTTTGGTTGGCCACTTGCTAGCAGTAACTTCTGCCAGAGTTAGGCTTCTTTTTTTGGACATAAACACATGGAAAAGTTTGTGTTTTTTATGTGATTACTGTAAGAAATGCTTTAAAACAAGTTCTTGAAAGTGTGATGGGTAGGTGAACTTGGTGACACTCGAGACATCTGTTAAAGAAGGGAGTTTGCCTAAGCCAGCCACCTATCTGCTTACAGTGCTGTGGAGAGGGGGGCTCCCTTGGTGCTGGCAGTATCCAGCTGAACCCTTGCTGCTGTATAGCACAGTGGGCTGTTGGTGGGGCTCAGCACCTCTCTTGCAACATTCTTTGCAGAAAATCCAGTGCTTAAAGCTGATGGTACTGCTCTTGAGGGAGCTCATTCTGCAAGGTTAAGACCTCTGTCCATGGTTCAGGTCTCTACGTATGGCAACACTGGTTTTAATAACAAGGTGTGGGCTGATCAATAGCCTCACGTGGCATGTTATGAGGCTAGCATATGAACAAACAGGAAATGGGTCAGCTTCTGTTGAAACGTCACAAGTTTGTTTTCTCCTCCCTCTAATGTTAGAAAATTACTGAAGGGCAGCAGGAGAAGCTAGAGAGACAGCACTGGACCATGACTAAGCTCCAGCGCCACCAGGAGCACATCCTGCGCTTTGCTAACTGGGCCCTGGAGAGTGACAACAACACCGCTCTGCTGCTTTCCAAAAAGTTGGTAAGAGTTGCTCGTTTGCTTCACGCTTTCCATTTCAGGGTTTTTAAAGGAAGCTGTCGAGTTACTCAGGAGTTTTCTCGCACACTGATGGGCGTCATCTTGACGTGGTTGATACCAACTGGGCTTAGGATTCCTTTTTGGCTAGTTAAGTAGCATTTGGGGGGCATTAGCTTGGTTTTGTTCCCTGGGGGTTGGGGCCACAGCCACCAGAAGTGAAGCAATAAAAACCTGGCAAGGGCAGAAGTGTGGCAGCCAGTTGGGTCCTGTCTCTTTCCATTCCAAACCTCTGCAAAGTATTGGAGTTGGCCAGATTCAGCTTCACTCAATGTGGAAATGCGAGAGGTTTTAAAGCCATACTCTTGGGTGTAATTAAATGTGCTTCCCTCTCCTGTAGATTTACTTCCAGCTGCACAGGGCTCTGAAAATGATTGTGGATCCTGTGGAACCCCACGGGGACATGAAATTCCAGTGGGACTTAAATGCCTGGACCAAGAGCGCAGAGACATTCGGTGAGAGATGATGAAGGGAATGGTTCCTGTACACTTGGGGGAGAGGAATGGAAGGACGTTTTGATTCAGGGCCATTGCTGTTAGAGTTACAGGCATAATGCCTCTTATACACTCTACTGGGCCATCTTGGCAAAGTGGTTTATGACTCTGTAGTTGGGCTCTAGTTCTGATTTTTTGGTTATTATTTTTTAATTTTTTATATTCACAACAAATAACTTACAGATTGATATAAATTTGAGGAATGCAAAATAACAGTTAAAGATTATACATCTTCAAAATAAGAGTAATGCTTTCAACAACAGGTATGAACACTATGATCAGTCCTTCAATTATTAAGATAGCGTACTGTAAGTAAATGAAACCACAATTTCAACGATCAACTTTTAACTAAAACTATTTATATACAGTTATGTGATGACACAGCACTCATACAACTTTAAGTCCTAAAATATAGCAATTATCTCTTTATACTTTGATGGGATTGAAGAAAGTGTAGTCGAAGTGTAGTTCTGATTTGATGCACATACCCCATAACCTGGTTGGATCCAGCCAGTATATTTTGCTGAATCTTGCCCAACTCACCTCCGTGCTGTAGCCCCCCATTCCATGATCATGCAAGTCCCATGGTGCCCACTGGAGCCTTATTGATAAAGGGGAGCCTTTGACCCTTTCTCACCAGCAGAAAAGCTGGTTGGATCTAACCTCTAGTTTCCTCTTGGGTGGTGGTAGTGGGGCACAGCATCTTGAAAGTGGCATATGAAAATGTGGGTTGGATCCATCTGGCTGTTTAGCTGATACATGACATATATCCATTTAGGTTTCCTGATCTCCCCGGCATAGCCCATTTGGGTTGGTCCAACCCTCCTTGTTTTTTCACCAGCAGAAAAAACTGGGTGGGTCTGACCCAGCTCCCACAACACATTAAACAATTAAACATCAATACCAAGTAAACTGGAGCTGCGGTGGTTCAAGTGGTTAAGACGCTGAACTGCAGGCTGTGGAAGGTCGGTAGTTCAGCAGTTCAAGACCCGAGTGTGCCGCGTGACGGAGTGAGCTCCCGTCTCTAGTTCCAGCTCCTGCCAACCTAGCAGTTCGAAAGCAAGAAATTGCAAGTAGATAAATAGGTACCACTTCGGTGGGAAGGTAACAGCGTTCCGTGCACCTTGGTGTTTAGTCATGCCGGCCACATGACCACGGAAACGTCTTCGGACAGCGCTGGCTCTTCGGCTTGGAAACGGAGATGAGCACCGGAACCCTAGAGTCGGACTCGACTGGCTTTCGAGCAAGGGAACCTTTACCTTTCCAAGTAAACTATAAAACCCGAGCAGGGAAAAAGTGTCCATTATTGAATATGCAGCAAGGCGAGTTCTGCCTTCTGAAGAGGCAACAGCAAAGGAGCTGTGTGAGGGTCCTGTGCGAAGGCATTCCAGGCTTCTGGGAAAAGGTGGCCAGTCCCATCACCCACCCAAGCTGGATTTTTTTAAAATTGGGCCCATTGGTATATCTTGCACGTTAGTGGTGGGTTTATACAAGTGGAGGAGCTCCATGAGTCATTCATAGCTTTATAGGCTATGAATTGCCCCTTGAATTGAGCTCAGAAACAAATGCATAGGATTCAAAGTGAGTGCTAACATTAATATACTGCAGTACTCATTTCAGACTGATTAGGAGCAGTGTTCCTTCTAAGATGAATTAGTGTGAGCTAGCTCAGTTTTTTAGCCCCTAGCTCACACATTTTTGGTCTTAGCTCAGGAAGGATGGCTCCAGAGCAGACTAATTTGTGCAGCAGCCAAATCGCTTGCTCACAACTTTAAGGCCAGTAGCTCACAAAGTAGAATTTTTACTTACAAGACTCCACAACTTAGAGGAAGCAAGTATTAGGAGTATTCTGTAATAGCTGAACACTGCAGTCAGAAGTCCAGAAGTCAGAAGTGGAACCCTAAAGTTGGACTTCCATTTGACTTATGGGAAACTTCAGTCCCCTTGAGGGGGACCCCCTATTTGACTCTTATGCTATTCTGAGGCTCCCCTTGGTTTCCCCCCCCCTAACCCCCCCCTGCATTTTGGGAAGATAGGTGGGCTGCTTGGCAGGGTGGTGGTGGGCGGGAGGCAGGAACATTCTGTGCCAGTAACAGAAATATCTTTGAGTGGAAACATTACTCTGGATCCAACCTGTAGCATTTGGTCAGCCTTTGAGGACATCTCTACTGCGAGTGACTTACAGGTTTTTTCTGTGCATCATGGTAAAACATGACACTGACCTTTTGCAGCTGGTGGCAGTTGTTGGTCCTTTGAAAGTGCTGAGCCACTGAGTGGATTTATGTGACCCTCTGCCAGCACAACAAATGGGATTGCTCACCTAGAATCATGTGAAATGAGATAATGAGTATACTCTGAGGACAGAAACGCTAACACTCCTTATTTCTTCTCCAACCTAGGTCAGATAATCTCGGAACGGAGTGGCTTGCCAGTGGTGCTCAATGCCCAGACCGGCCAGCAGCGAGCCAATGCCACTGGTGCTGCATCTGGAGGAGCAAGGCCTGGTGTCCCACCTTCTCAGGTACTGGCTACTCTGGTTACCAGTCTGTCCTCTGTAAAGCTGGCTATAACCAGGGTTAGGGCTTTCTTGGTGGCGGCTCCTTTCTGGTGGAATGAGCACCTTTTAATGTTGAAATTGTTTATATGGTTTTAAGACAGGGGTGTCAGACATGCGGCCCCGGGGGCCGGATCAGTCCCTGGAGGGCTTCTATCCGGCCCACAGTGGAACTGGCTGAGTTCTGCTGCTGCGTCATCGGAGATTTGCAGCTTACAGAGACCCACCAGAACAGCATACTCAATATCAATGCCCCCTCTAAGCTGTGGAGTCCTGTGAGCAAAACGTCTACTTAGTGAGCAACTGGCATTAAAGTTGTGAGCGAGCAATTTGGCTACTGTGGAAATCAGTTTGCTCTGGAGCCGTCCTTCCTGAGCTAAGGCAAAAATGTATGAGCCGGAGGCTAAAAAACTGAGCTAGCTCACACTGACTCGGCTTAGAGGGAACACTGCTCAAGATTGCAACAGCACCCACGTTTTGATGCAGTAATTCAGAGCAACAGGTGTCAGTTATCAGACACTGTTAAATAAACAAAATATTGCAAGAGTGCTAATATTTTAAGTAAAAAACACCTTTGTGTTTGTGTCCTTACATCTCCGCTACCTGGCATTACATTTTATGACACACATGGCCTGGCCCAACAAGGTCTAATTTATGTCAGATCCGAGTTCGACACCCCTGTTTTAAGACTATTTAAATTATTTATTTCTGCAAGCCACCCTGAGCCAGCCCTGGCTGGGAGGGCGGGGTATAAATTGGATAATTAAAAATAAAGCCCTTCCTGGTTGTCAGGCAGCTATTGGCTAGCATGACAGCAAAACTACATCACTGCTACTCCTTGCGTAAGTGGAGATGCCTCTGTAGCTTTCAGGGTCTCCCAAGGAGTGGCTAGTGGCTTGAGAGGCTCCGTCCTAGTAAACAGGACTTTCCTCTTCTTTCCTTGTAGGGTGTCCAGCAGTTGTCTCTGCAGACAAGCGTGATGAACAAGGGAGCCCTGCTCCAGCCTGTGCTGGCTTCCAACAGTCAGCAGGGTATTCCTGACTGCTACATTAATGAAGCCAGTGCCTCTTCTGCGGGGCAGGTGAGCTGTTCTCCAGGACAAGGGAAGGCTGCTTAGTTGGTGGCCATTGCCTTATGGACTGGAAATGGCAGTTCAGCAGCAAGTGGAAGAGTGGTAGTTTTGGTTTGAAGGTTGCCCTGTTCCTGGTTTCCACTTAAATTCTGCAACCTGTGGCCCCAGGGCCTTGGCTCACAACCAAATAATGGCTCTTTAAAGAAAATAAAACACCGGAAACAAAAGATACATTGGGAACAGCAAGTGCTTTAATGAAGGGAATGACAAGTAAAAACATTTTTATGGGGCTTCTTTGAGCTGCTTTACAAAAGAGAAATGATAGAGCTGAAGAATGGCCAGTGAGCTAAGTGTGAACCGTGCACTTATTTCTACCAGTGCAATAAAGCAATCATGCAGAGTACTTCTGGGCATGGTTATTATTGAGAGTCATTACATGTGCTGTGTCCAGGGAAGGACCAGTGTTTGGGCTGCAGAATGTTGATAGAGTATTAACTTGTCATGTCAGTAATGGTGTATGCTTTGTTCTTTTGCTCTGAATTTTGAGTTAGTTCGGCAGAGTTTCATTGTATAAGGTTGCTGAACCCTGACTTGGATGGTTAACAAGCAGTATGAGTTGAATAGAGAAATGGGGAGCCTCAGTCAAAAGTTACAGCTGTTTTGAGTCCAAAGTTAGTTCCTCAGGCCAGGTGCCTGGGTGAAGCTGAATGGGTTAGTATTCCCCTCTCTTTTGTGAAGGGTGGAAGTCTCTTTGCAAACCTGTGGGCTCCCCAAATACATATAAACCCATGATTTTGTCTCTGTTCAGCTGTCTTACCTTGGACACCAACTGTATTGTTAGGAAGGGGGCACGGCTTGAAGGAGTCCTAGAAAGAAGACTCTTAACAGCTGGAAAATACTTTCCAGATAAAGTCCCCTGCACTAACATACTGTAAACATCTTGGGCCCTTGAGCAAGTGAAATTGCTCTCCTTTACTTTTTGACCCAGAATTCTGTGTCTACTAAAGCCTGCTCAGTCCTTATCAGGCAAAGCTTTAGGGGTTAGTGTGCAAAATCATACTTTTATGTATACCTGGGGAGTCCCCTTAGTTTGTGGACCTCTCGTTTTTCTATATGGCATGATTTTGCCTAGTTTGAGGGGATGTATCTGATGTTGACTTTGTTCTTTTACAGCCAATGGACATCAGTGATGGCTTCGGTATAGGTAAGTAACAAAAGGGAGAGTCAGGGGAGGCCATTAATTGGGGAGCCTTGTTAATGATTATGGGGAGAGGGTGGTGGGTTAATCAGGGGGCCTCCCCTCACACTTGGTAAGTACCAAATGTCAAGAATACGATTGCTTTGTGGAATGCTTCCTTTGGGCTGAAGAGAGTTGATGGGATAAATGTCCTTCTGACACTTTCCCCCCCTCTCTGTACACAGAAGGATCATATTCTGGTGAAGCAAATGTGTCTGGAACAAAAAGGTATGGTTTCTTTTTCCCTTGCTAGACTTTGCCACCTGTTTTGAGGTTCTTGGGTCAGGTCTGAGTAGCCTTGCATCCCTTAATTTTCCAACTGCCATTTTAGGAATATCATATGTGTGTGTGCTTGGTGTCTGGGGGTAAGTGAACTGTCCTGAGAGTAAGCATAGAAGCCGAAGTTGTTTTTGTTTGGGTTTTTTTGCTCTTATGGGCATCTGTAGATTGCAGTGCAGATGCATCGTAAGAGAATGCCTGTCTCGGTCCACTAGGATGCGAGGCTTGGTTGCATCCATTCCATCCCCCCCCACCTCTCTCCTTTTGATTGTTCTGCTCAGCTGTCTTCTTCAGCCTGCGTCCTTCCCTTCCCTAGATAGGATGGGAGATGTAGTTTGTGTAGTTTGTGAACTGTCCATTAGCATAGAGGAGAAGGACCCCATTGATTTTCGCAGAAGATTTTAACTCTTGCAAGAATTTGCCTTTTACCAAATGACGAATTGACCTGTCAGAGTCAGTTTTGTCTCCTCTGACTGGTATTTCAGACCACTCCATCCCTCTCCCTTTTAACTAGAGATGTCAGGGATTGGGACCTTCTGCATACAAGGCAGATGCCCTACCCTTGAGCACTGGTCTTCTTCCATATGCAGGGAAATAAAAAGAAAATAGTTCATAAAGGTAGTATAGTAAAGACTTCTTAAAACAGACAGCTAAACATGTAAGCATAAAACAGGCAATACAACTGTAAAAGAAATGCAAGAAATTCAGGGTGGCCTGAAGCAGGGCTCCCTCAAACATTAAACAACCAGAACCTGTACAGGTTTGTGTATCCCTGACTTGCGAGATGTTACCTGCAATTCCCAAGTGCTTGTGGTTGTGGCTCCGTTTGTTCTTATGTTCCCTGTATCTGTCTGCCGCAGGCCCCGTGGCCAAGATGGAGAGTCGGGTGGCATGCGCAAAGTGCCCCGCGTGAGTTTGGAACGACTGGATGTGGACTTGACAACTGACAGCCAGCCGCCTGTCTTCAAAGTCTTTCCAGGCACATCCACCGAAGACTACAATCTCATTGTGATTGAACGTGGGGCCCAGCAAGCTGCTGCCGCTGCTGCCCAACAAGCAGCCACTGCAGTGAAGGTGAGCCTCTCTTTGCGGGGGAGCCTGTAGTATATTGAATGATGTATTCTCAGTCTTTTGAAAGGCCCTGGGGAAACTTCAGTTACAAAGTGTGAATGTTGTGCTGAAGTGGGCTGGATCAACGGAGTCCATCAAGCCTGGTTATAACTGCCCTGTAGCCTCTCTTGCTGCTCTTGGTGGAGTGTGTCTTGCACGATGAATCAGCAGGGGGAGGGCTTGAACCTTTCTGCAGTGGAAGAGCCACTTAAGTTAGTGGAAGACTCCTTTGGCCTGGAGGAGGGGATTTAGTCTCAGTGGAGTGTTAGAATGCTTTTGTATTTACGTGCACAATTGGAGGAAGGATTCAGACTGAGTGGAGTGGTAGGATAGTGGTAAGATCCATCCCAGTGTCCATTCCTCTGTCTAGCATTGTGAAGCATTGAGTTCATAGTACACTTAAGCTTCCCTGGAGGTGTTTCACAGCACAGTAGGAAAGCCTGGGAACATGAGGATATTGCTGCTGTCTATAAAGCAGCCTCATTCCTTGAGCCCCTTTCTCTGTCCACGCTATGAGGCAAGGTTCGCATTGGAAGGATGTATTCGCTAGGGGCTCAACAGAAGGATGCTGTAGGCTTACTTGTCTTTGTTGATAGAGCCTCATACACTCAAGCCTTATGCGTTTGGTGCTGGAGTTCCAGGGGCACTGCCTGGAGGTGAGAAGCGGCCCTCCCCCCAAAAAGAGAAGTGAATAAGAAGTTTAAGTCTGATCCAGCCACGGGCTGTGTGGCTGTATCTGTTGGCTCTCCAGAATTGGTTAAGCAGGTGCAAAAGTGTCTGTGTCCCAGAAGGCCAGAATATGTAAAAGGAGAAGAGAGGGTGTAGCTCATTCCGAAAGATGGTGTAGCTAATAAATTATGCCAGCTACACTTCCAGGGCCTGTTCTTCTCTTGGCACAACTAGCTCTGCCTTGTTGAGTCTTTTATATTGCCGAGTGTGATCTTTTCCCTTTGTTCAGTTTCCTGTTGTCCCAACAAGCAAGATGGCAGCAAGGCCCCTGGGAACGGAAATTCCTGTGGTTTTTTTTTTTGGGGGGGGTTGCCAGAGGCTTCTTTTCAATGCACTTGCTTGACCTGATTTTTTAAAACCCGTGTTTGCTCACAGGAGGAGCAGATGGAGGCAGCCATTGAGCACCCTGTGGGCACTGAAGGGAAGGACACCAAGCCCGTCCTACCCCAGGATGCCCCCTTGGCAGAAGGCTCTTCAGCCCCTCGGCTCATCTCTCCCAGCGGCAGCACTAGCTCCGCTACAGACATGCAGTCCATTCAGAGCCATGACGGCACAGCCAATGGAGAAGAAGCGGCTTGCTGCAGGGTCTGCCTGAAAGCCGGCGCTGTTGTCATGTGTGACGGGTGCAAGAAGTGCTACCACCTGGATTGCCACCTGCCTGTCCTCCAGGAAATCCCCAGGTGCGAGCTCCCCTTTCCCAGCTTGCCTCCCTCTACCTATGTATTGGAGATAAAAGGAAGGATGTGCGGTTGTGGAGATGTGGACCCCAGATGTCACTTAGGAAGGGGTGGTGGCAAAAACCATTTAAAGACTTGAGTGTTTTCCCTTGAGTGCTACCTGGTTTAGTTCTCCTCACAACTCTGCTTAAGGCAATTATGGTATGGTCCTGGAGACCTAGATTCAAATCCATTCTCTTTCATAAGTCTCTCGTGACTGCTTTTTCCTTACGCTTCATTGTGTGGGTCTCCTAGGCAACCCAGTAATGTTGACCATAATCTTGCAAGATGTAGATCAGAGGTTCCCAAACTTATTTGGCCTTACCCCCCCGCCCTTCAGAAAAAACAATTACTCAGCGTCTACCTTCAAGAAGGGGACAAAAAATGCAATTTGTGGAGCTGCACATGGATTGTTCCAGCCCTCCTGGATCGTTCCAGCGCCCCTCAGGGGGCGGTATTGCCCACTTTGAGGAACTAGTGATTTAGATGATCATTTTAGAAGCCGTATGTGTGCCTGCACACTCGTAAATTCTGTAGTTATTTTTCCAAATCACCTATTAGTTTGTTCAAGGTTTTCCTGTAAATCTTGAGGTTCCCTTGGGCTTGTAGGTGCCTTCCCTGTTTGTCCTTGGCCCCAGTGTGTGTGTTCAGTTCAAAGGAAGACATTGATGGAAAATATATTGTACTTAAGCAGTAGTTGAAGGAGTGGAAAACACTCCCAAACCTCTCGCTAGCTAACTTCAGCAGTGGTTGGTAGGGAAAACAGCTTCTAGATGGTTGGGTAGTGCCACACAGACTGCTGTGAAATTTTAAAAGTGGTGGCTTCTCAAACAGGCTCTGCTCTTTTACTGTGCTCTGTCATCGTAAGGGGAACGTGTTCGCAACTAACCAGGTTAAAGTAGCAAAACTGTCAAACACTGAAATTTCATTGCCATGTCAGTTTCCAAATGCTGCTGAATAGTATGCCTGCATGATAATGCCAAATAGGCAGCAGGGTTGGCTTCTGTGATTCTGCAGACTATACATTTCTAAAATAATGGAGGGGCAGGGGTGGAACATGTGATCAAACCCTTAACTGTTTCTTGCTTCTCTTCCCCCACAGTCAGGAATGGAAGTGCCTGCTGTGTGAGGAACCAGTGGCCATCCGTGAAGAAGTTGGAACTGCCTTGACTCCGATCTCCGTAGATGGCGAGCTGAACATTCTCAGAGATGCTGACCAGCAGGTCTGTCAGTTGGTCTGGGTGGAAGATGCACTGCTAGAGATGTAAAATTTCTGAAAATTTTGAAGATTTTTTTCGGGAAAATACAGAAATTTTTGGAAAAATTGAAAAAATGCTACATTAGCATTTCTTTTGTCTTTTCTAGATTGAAAGTCATTCTGTTACTTTAGGAACATAAAATATGACTATGGACATTTTTACTTGGCATGAAATTATCACAACTAGCATATTAAAATATAGTGTATCCAAACAATTATTACAAACAGAATACCCACCCACATGCACAAACAAAACCGAAACTTTTTAATTTTTTTCTGACAATCGCACCTCCTAAAGGAAGAAATGCATCTTGTTCTTGCATTGGAGAGTTCAGTTTGTAACCTAGGACTTGCTTGTCCTCAGTGCACAGAAATTAGATCAATCTGATACCATATATATATATTTTAGAAATGATTTGGAAAATATTTGAACACCTTGTCTTAAAATATTTTATTCATCATGTTAAAATAAAACATCCCACAATCAATTTTTTTCTTTTCTTTTTTCCAATTTTTCCAATTTTTCGGAAAAAAACAAAAAAGCTTCAGGAAAAATGGGGAAACCCCCCCTCCCCCTGAATTTTTCCATTTTTTTCCCGGGGCTTCACATCTCTACAGTGGACTGGGCCTGAGAGGGGCAGATTGCATGGTGGGGCTGATGGATGCTGTGTGCTGGTTATCTTTTTCTGAATTTCATTAAACCCTGCCTTCACCAAAGGGGATTCAGGGTGGTTGACATCATTTTCATTTTCTCTTATTTTACCTTTATTCACACTACTGTCCCCTTCACTGACATATAGCTCATCAGTTAATGCTTTAAAAAAGGTGTGTATTTTCTAATGTCCTACTATTGACGAATCTATAGTGTCATTAAGCCATAGGCTCTGCTTCACAGCCATTTCATACAGTATTCAGAAGCAAGCTCAAGTTTGCCATGTGGCCTCCTGGAGTCTGCAGTGGTCGAAGACCAACAGGGATAGACTTCCTTGCTTAATCTTCCTTGGCCTGAGAAGGGATATCGGCAGCCGAACAGCCCAGCTTGATGCTGAGCTTTCCAGAAGGCTACGTTTGGTTTTAGGAATGCTCCTTGGAATGAGATTCAGTGGGGAGGCTAGATCTATCTTACCTCTTATTGTCTCTCAACAGAGATGTGAACGAGTCCTCCTTGAGTTGCTGTGTTATGAGCCTTGCAGGCCTCTTCACCGACTCTCCAACACCACGGTGAGTCTGTGTTATGAGCTGGTGTGTGGGCATGTATGGGCTTGAAGAACTGTCACCTTAGTAATAGATGTTCATGCATTGCTGGTGAGTGCTGTTCCCCTCTGCTTCAGATTGTCAGATCATCTTAGAGGCTGGTACTAGTTTGGGGCGCTAGCATCCAAGGTGTCATGATCCTAGGCCTAAGGCTGAAGAATGAGTGGTCTCCAGGCCTCAAGGAAGCCTCTGGGCCACAAAATCCTGAGGCCTTTGTTTAAATTTTGCACTAGGCCTATATTGCTCAGATACCTTCCAAACCTACAGGATGGCTCTTGCGTGGGGTGAGGTTGGGGGATGGAAGGAAAGCAGGTACCAGTTGCTGCCAAGGAGACAAAGCTCTAACAGATCAGACAAGGCCCTGAACAGAGAAGGAAGAGGGTTGAATGGCAGTGAGGCTCCTCCTGGATGGAGTGGACCCCTTGCCCATGGTGGGGTGACTCTGGCCTACTGGGATCAGGTTGTAAAATAGAGCAGGAACTAGACTTTGATTTCTGAAACTTTGTTTTCAGAAACCTATTTTTCTGGCTGGCTGGCTTCTTTCTTTGTAACCTTGCCCGGTATTCTCCCCTTTTATCCCTGCTATATTTCTTAATAAAATTTTGTTCACTTTGCCTAGGGTTCTCATGCCTCAAGATCTGGCCTTTTGTCAGGAAACTCCCTGACTAGAGGGGGTTGCCTGGGGGCCGGGAGGATGCTCTCGCCCTTGTCTAGTAAAGCCCTAGAACCAAAACAGTGGTAGTCAGTTAAAGCTCCAGGCCTGTCTCCTCCAGGCCTGAAGAGGGCAGAAGAAAAGGAGGGAGAGATCCCTGGAAGGGACATCCTGTTTGTGGCAAACCTAAATGGCCCTACACCGATATGTGACACAAGGCTATATAGATCTCTCTAAACTTTCCATCCATTCCCGACCCGCTCTTGTAAAATTTCTGTGCACATTCTTGAGCCTCTCAAACTGAAGGCTTATCAAGTTGGCAAGATGAGCCTTGTTGCATGAGTTGCGGTCACTTTTTTGAGTGCAAATGCAGGTAGCCTTGTTTGGGGGGCTGCTTCAGGTGAACTGTAACATTTTACTGGATTGTGTTCCTTTTCTCATCCATCTTCCAGGAGGGACAGAACACCATCGACTTGACCTTGATCAGAGCTAAGCTGCAGGGGAAGCTCTCCCCACCCTACAGCTCTCCCGATCAGTTTGCCGAGGATGTCTGGAAGATGTTCAGGCAGTTTAACAAGCTGACAGAGGTGAGGCTTTGCCTTTCTGGAAGGGAATGACGTTGACCTGCTCATTGGTGGAGGAGTGGAGGACTACCAACGTGGCCAGCATGATAGACCTAGGAGAATCAGTGCCGGTTCGATAGGATGAGGTCACTGTTCCTCTAGCTTCTATCTGAACAGGCATCTCTGCTGTGCAGAACTGGTGCATGCACGTAGGGCTCAGTTGGTGATCCCCCGAAGGGGCGCCCATGAGCTCCATGGTGCTGGTGGATGTCTGCTTTGATGCCCACTCATTTGTTCACAGAGGACCAATCTTCTTCTGCTTTGCCTTACTGGAGCAGGAGGTGCTTGGAAGACCCTGGGAGGCATCACAAGACCTTTGAGTCTGCAGGAAGCAATGGCATGCAGAACCAGTTGCCTTGGTCATTGACTTTAGGACCCCCACCGGCACACTTTGTGACTGCCCCTCTATGATGACCGTGGCTTGTCCATTATTATTTGTGGTGGTGTCCCACTACTTTCTCAAAAATTCCAGAACTCTCAGTGACTTCGGAGAGTCCTTCGGCTGGGGCAGCCTGGTTGATCCTGCCAGTAGTGTATGGTTGTCTATTCCAGCACCCCTGTGCATGTTAGACGTTCACATGGACATTACAGTAAAACACTGCATGGCTTGTTAAATCAGGGTTGCTCCTGCTGTTCCTTGGACTTTTGAGAAGGCGGTGCTCTCACCAGTTTTAGGAGCTTGAAGTAACCTTGGGCATCAGTTCTTGGCTTCTCCTAAGTCCCAGCAGAGTACTTCTTGTTACATTACTTACTTTCCTTGCCTGCCAAGAGGGAGTCGGTGTGATGCTGCACTCTTGAGATACTGATGACTGTCCATTCTTCTCTTCCCCCTCCCCACAGGACAAGGAGGATGTCCAGTCCATCATTGTGCTGCAGCGCTTCTTCGAGTCCAAACTCAATGCCGTCTTTGGGGACCGCAAGTTCTCAGTGCTGGCAGACCCCATCAATCTGGACGAGCCACAGAGAGGAGAGAGCAGCCTTCTTTCCCACAGCACCCCAGCCGCTGATCTGGGTGAAGTTGCTTCTTCCAAGCCCGAGGGAAGTGGCGGGAACGAGGGAATGGCAGCATAACAGACCCTGCCTCCTGTCATCTGGACCAGCATTCCACGGAGGAGAGGCGAAGGAGGGCAGCTCCCTGTCTGAAGCTGCCCTCGCCTGTCTCGGCCACTCCACCCCTTCTGGTCCTTCCTTAAGCAGCCCTCTGTCCCCCGTTCTGCACCTCTCTGCCTTTTTTTAGAGTTATTGTAGAATTTGACTGCTTAGGTAAATGGTTATAAATGGTTTGTCTCTCTTCACACTTCCTCCCCCCTTTTTTGCTTGATGAATTTTATGCCCTTGTTCTGAAAGTTTGTTTTTTGTACTGAAATGAAAATCAGGACCGTCTCCCTTTGGTGTCCTCTTATATTCTTTTTTTTCTTGGGGAACGGGGAGCAGGCGAGGGCAGTGGCTTTTTTTTCTGCCTCCCCTTCCACCCTTTTAATGCTCTTTTATTTGTCCCTTTCCAACCCAGAGAAAGCTCTTGTGGCCCACACACAAGGTGGATCTTCTGACAAATTGTATACTGACGGTTCTTAGTTTGTCTCCAGGTTCCCAACCATACTGAGCCAAAGTCACAGTGTTGCTCTGCCAGCAACTCTGGCTTGAGTTAGAAGGGGTGACATCTCTAGACAAAGTTCCCCATGCTCCTTTCTGGTCCCCTTGTGCCAACCTTTAAGTGTAGACATCTGACAAGTACAGTCTTTGGGCCTCCACAAAGAGCTGTTTTCTGAGGCAATTATTAGTCTCTCATGGAATTTTTTTTGACCCCCTATGCCCTGTAGGCTGCCTAATTTTTTTCCTGTTATTCAAGAGGTGCCCGCTCCATAGGCGAAGGTAGTTGTAGTTTTAAAAAATCCAGTTTTGTCCCCTCCGTGTAGCCGTACTTTCTGGCTGTACGTATTTTCAAATGCTTTCTGGGCCTAGTAGTTTTTCCACACTTATCTCCCAAGAGCCATTCTCATGGAACTGTGCTTTTTTTTGCTTCTGTATATTTTAGAAGTTGCTTCTTCCATGTTCGAGAAATAAAACTTGTTTGCGACTTGGCTTTTGGTCCACGAAACAGTGTTTTATTTATTTCATTAGACTTATAGCTCTCCCTCCCCCATGAATGGGCTCTGGTTCTGTCTCCTATAAACGTTCTCTGTGGAGGGATCAGGGTGAGCTTACAGTGCCCTGTAGACACGATCCAGGTTATGATTCAGTCATGATCTGTCCAAGGCATGTTTCCTCCGTTCTCAATTGTCCTTTTCCCCTTGTTATTCTGGGCTGTTGAATTGGCCTGTCAAACCACCCCAACCCAAAGGATGTGAACACTTTTAGCTAACCCCAGGCCTCTAGGTTCAGTCTGCTTTTATAAAAATCCTATCCTTGCTCCAAGGAGTTGTGGTGAACATGGTTTCCCCCTCCATTTTTATGCTACCAAAGTTTGAGTTGATTAGGAAGTGGTTACGTAGTCCACTCAATGAGCTTCCATGGCTGGGTTTCCAGCCAAGCTCACTTCAGTATTTTACCATGCTGGTATGTAGACATAAACTGAACTGGGCTTCAGGTAGATTTATTGGGCAGAATTGCCTATTGGATGTGAGGGTCTAAGATTGTGAAGGGGGGTAGCCATGTTAATCCTGTTTTAGAAAAATAAAAGCCCAGTGGACCATAAAGATTGACAACATTTGTAGAATATGTTTTTGTGAGTCACTACGCAATACTTAAGATATGTGGGAATCAAGCCTGGGGTTCTACTTAAGGGAGAAATTATAGGGGGGGCGGGAGTTAAGGCAGAGAGGAAATTCAGTCATGAAGCTTTCAAGTGAGGATTCTGTGTGTAGGTGTGGGGGAGAAGGTTGTATAATGCTATCTCTCATACCACTGATTTTGTTATTCATTTGGTTTATACCCCTCCCTCCCGCTGAGGTAGGCTCAGGGCAGCTGTCATGATTATTCCAACTATGAGGATGTCTTCCAGCAAGTAAAAACATGCTACTGAAAGTCACGCCGTAGCTGAAGGGCAGCAGTATCTAGCGCTAGTTTCATACCTGAATACTTGGTTTATCATCTAACAGTTTGGGCCATGTGGTTCACTAAGAAAATGAGGTTGGATCGTAAAATGTGTGGCGGTTGAAATGGCTGTGGTATAAATTGCAGGGTGGGAATCCAAGTCTCTGCTTGAATTTCTTTGAGCAAAGAGGCTTGTTTGAATGAAGAAAAATTGGGTTAAATATTCACCTGCCAAGAACCAGCTGTGATTGAGTTAATGTACAAGGATGCAGCTATCTGTAAAAGCACTGTGCATTTTAAAGTGAAGAATAGAACGTAGAACTGTTTTAAAGAAAATAATGACAGCACTTTTAATTCACTAACTGCTCCCCAACATTATTATTATTAACACCTTGCAACAAAAAGTACAATGCTGATTTCTACGTCAGCCCAACCAACTAAACACACATGGCATATTGCCTTAGATGGCTGTGATGCAAAGTTCCACAGAACCCTTCATTTTGGTTCTATTTCAATTCAATCCTCTCTAAAACAAGCCGGAACAAGCCTATGGCCACCACATTCACAGAACCCACAGAGCTAATGAGTGATGTGCCAGGCCACAAATGTTCCACAGAATCCATGCTCTAACCTTTCTGAACAGTTTACTGCTTTGTGATGAAAAGGACAAGTTCCCCTTGGCCTGCGCCCACCAGATTTACAGGTCCCACGGAAATAATGAGAGATTAACCAAGTCATGGAAGTCCCACAGAATGTATGTTCCAGTACCCCTTGCATGCAGTTTACTGTTAGTGGAATAACAGGCCAGAAGAAACACTATTTGCAGCAGGCCAAAATCTCTGGCCAACAATAATGTTTTTCTTGATGCACCCTTTTATAATCACAACCATAGGATTCTTTTATCCTGTACTGGAGAGCATAGAAGCTACAAATCAAGCCCACTTTTCTCTTGCATGCAGTTTACTGTTTCGTGTAGTGGTTAAGTGTGCGGACTCTAATCTGGGAGAACCGGGTTTGATTCCCCACTTCTCCACTTGCACCTGCTGATGTGACCTTGGGTCAGTCACAAGCTCTGGCACAGCTGTCCTTGAAAAAGAGCAGTTCAAAATCTCTGGCCAGCAATAATGTTTTTCTTGATGCATCCTTTTATAAACACAACCATAGGATTCTTTAATCCTGTACTGGAGAGCATAGACGCTACAAATCAAGCCCACTTTTCTCTGGATCCTGTGTGTATAGTGGAGTATACTGTGTATACTGGAGGCACATGAAAAGAGCAAGAGTCCAGTAGTGCCTTAAAGACTAACAAAACATGGCAGGGTATGAGCCTTTGCAAGTCACTGTCATGAAAGCTCATACCCTGATTAAGTCTTTAAGGTGCTACTGGACTCTTGCTCTTTTCTACTGCTACAAACTAACATCTTGATCTGTCACTACTGGAGGCACATATATGACAAAACACAAGTTCAGTTTGTGAGAATGACTTGTAATTCTTTAGTCTGATAGCTGGGCACAATTACACTTAGTGATTATGTTTCTTTCAGTGTAACTAGGCAGCTTTTACAATTAACTTACTGAGAAACAGCACCCAAACCCTGCCTGGCTAAAATCATATACTACAGTCCCTATTGGGTACCCTCTCTAGTCCAGGATACCTCCTATATAATTTCTCTCCAAAACCCAACTCTCCTACTTGTCTGTTGGTTGCTGACAGTTACACTCTACTCATTTTGTCCCCACTTCAGCATTCCCGTTCAGCCTGTTTGAATCTGGTTGGCCAATGCTTGTCTGTTTCACTTGGTTTTAGATGACCTCACGCCATTGCACTTTCAATGCACTTTGCAACTGGATTTTACTGATATGGCAAAATCCACTTGCAAATGGTCACTGAAGTGGATTAAAACTGCATTATTTAGCATGCACGAAAAGTGCCCAATATGGAATTATTTCTTTTCAGTATTTAGAACGGTATTCTAAATAGAGTAATTTGGTATACCTAGGATCTTGTTTTTGTTTCAAATTGTTGCTTCTGGGGTGTGTATCACTGAGATTCTGTTTTCTAAAGATATCTGTATAAAGGTTTTGCGAACTACTCTTAATTTTTATGTATAAATAAAACTTGCCAGATCACTAGATCGTTATCATACAAATGATAGATCTTGATGAGCTGGCCCATGTAGATACAAAAGAGATATTAGAATGGTCCTATATTTTGATTATGCCATAAAAATAAGTACATGCCATAAACATTTATATTTTAAGTCATAATCAAAATGTACTTAACAGGATGGGCACCCCGGTCTGTTGCAGCAAACAAGAGTTTGGTGGTATCTTGGTGGTGGAAAGTGGTGTCAAGTCACAGCTGACATGGCAACCCATGTTTTTTTCCCAAGGCAACAGATGTTCAGAGGTGGTGCGCCATTGTCTGCCACTGTGTCATGAGCCTGGTATTCTTTGGAGGTCTCCCATCCAAATACTAGCCAGGGTCAACCCTGTTTAGCGTCCCAAATCTGATGAGATTGGGCTAGCCTGGACTATCCAGGTCAGGGTATCTTAAAGATTATTTACTGAACCATAACTTTAGGAACTTCAAATGGAGAATCCAGAGAGAAATTGCAGTAGTTTGGGCTATCAATCAGGCTTTAGATGTAAAATGACTTAACAAGTATGTTGTCAGTGCTCACTGCTTATCCTGTACAATTAAGTGTTGCATACAAATGTCATACTTCATGCATATGTCAAAGTGGCCTGGAGCTAGGGTTACCAACAGGTCTGGAGAAAAATGTCTTCTCACTTTAATAGAGGAAATAGGCAGTAGGAAGCTTTTCATGGCATGGGGGGTAAATGACATCACCTAGTAAATATTCTTAGTTGGACCCAGGAACCACTTAAAGATATGAGGGGTACCCACATTTGCAGAAAACCTTGAAAAGCTAAACTAAAAAAAAAAGGTGGGTGGGTTACAATCAATGCTCCCTCTAAGCTGTGGAGTCTTGGTGTAGTGGTTAAGTGCGCGGACTCTAATCTGGGAGAGCCGGGTTTGATTCCCCACTCCTCCACTTGCACCTGGCTGGATGACCTTGGGCAAGCCATAACTCTGGCACAGCTGTCCTTGAAAAAGAGCAGTTTGTGTCAGAGTTCTCAGCCCCACCCACCTCACAGGGTGTCTGTTGTGGGGAGGGGAAGGGAGAGGAGTTTGTAAGCCGCTCTGAGACTCCAAGTGAAGGGTGGGGTATAAATCCTCACAGGGTGTCTGTTGTGGGGAGGGGAAGGGAGAGGAGTTTGTAAGCCGCTCTGAGACTCCAAGTGAAGGGTGGGGTATAAATCCAATCTCTTCTTCTTATGAACAAAAATCCTACTTGGTGAACTACCGGCACTAAAGTTGTGAGCGAGCGATTTGGCTGCTGCATCAATTAGTTTGTACTGGAGCCATCCCTTCCTGAGCTAAGGCAAAAATGTATGAGCCAGAGGCTAAAAAACTGAGCTAGCTCACACCAACTCAGCTTAGAGGGAACACTGGTTACAATCTGTCCAAACTAGCCATCAATGTTCCCACATTCCAAAATGACAGAGAAAGTGCCTGAAATGTTGGGTTGTCCAGCACTTCAAGATCCCTGTGAAAATGTAGGGATGAGTTAAGGGTGGGCGTGGGAAGGAGGATATACAAGATCATAAGCAGGGAGGCCAATGGAGGATTGGGTGGGAGCCACAGGGTCTTCTGCAGTGGTTTAGGACTGAAGGTGCACACTGAGCATTTTTTTCAACTCCCAAGTCCCTGCCTCCACTGTATGGTGGTTGGCTTGGGGCTTAGACCATGGCCTCAAAGCCTACTTAGAGGGAACACTGGTTACAATCTGTCCAAACTAGCCATCAATGTTCCCACATTCCAAAATGACAGAGAAAGTGCCTGAAATGTTGGGTTGTCCAGCACTTCAAGATCCCTGTGAAAATGTAGGGATGAGTTAAGGGTGGGCGTGGGAAGGAGGATATACAAGATCATAAGCAGGGAGGCCAATGGAGGATTGGGTGGGAGCCACAGGGTCTTCTGCAGTGGTTTAGGACTGAAGGTGCACACTGAGCATTTTTTTCAACTCCCAAGTCCCTGCCTCCACTGTATGGTGGTTGGCTTGGGGCTTAGACCATGGCCTCAAAGCCTATTTATTTTGATTTCTATCCCGCCTTGCCAGACGAACTGACTCAAGGTGGCTAACAAACATTAAAATACAGTAAACAATAAATACACTAAAATTCCATAAGCAGCATAAATTACAATAAAAGCAGCACAAATGATGGTGGCATTTAGTATACAGTCCTCTGATGGAAGGCAATGTCCAAGGGTATGTCAAAAGGCCATGGTGTATTCTGGCAGCTCATTCGTCAGTGGCAGCTCCTAATCGGGACTGAAGGTGCACACTGAGCATTCTTTCAACTCCTCTCCACTGTATGGTGGTTGGTTTGGGGCTTAGACCATGGCCTCAAAGCCTATTTATTTATTTTGATTTCTATCCCGCCTTGCCGAATGAACTGACTCAAGGTGGCTAACAAACATTAAAATACAGTAAACAATAAATACACTAAAATTCCATAAGCAGCATAAATTACAATAAAAGCAGCACAAATGATGGTGGCATTTAGTATACAGTCCTCTGATGGAAGGCAATGTCCAAGGGTATGTCAAAAGGCCATGGTGTATTCTGGCAGCTCATTCGTCAGTGGCAGCTCCTAATCGAAAGCCTGGTGGAAGAGCTCCGTTTTACAGTCCCTGTGGATTGCGGAACTGTAAAAGGTCCTTTAGGGCCCTGATGTCCTCCAGGAGCTCATTCCACCAGTGTGGAGCCACCACTGAAAAGGCCCTGGTGTCAGGATCGACAGCAAGCTTTTGTAGTAGCCAATCCGACTTCTTTCGGGCCAGGGAGAGTCAGGTGATTTTGTGTCCCTGACGGTGCTCTCTGGGCACATATGGGGAAAGGCGGTCCCTCAGGTAGGCATTACTTAGCTGGAGGCTACATACTGCAAGGCCATGGGCTGCTAGGGCAGAATGAGAATTCCCCCTCCTCAGTGGTGTTAGCGGGTCCCACATTTGCACACCAGGGTATCTGCAAGCGTCAACACACAACTGAACTGCTGAAACTGCTTGAAGCATTTCTCCCCATGGCCCAGTCATGAGATGAGCAGCCCTTGTTCCAGCCCAGATGTTTTCCAGGCTGGCTTGCTGCCAAAAGTTGAACCTTTGCAGTATCTTGTACTGCTGAAATATAGATTCAGGTGGGTAGTTGTGTTGATCTGAAGCAGCAGAACATTTTTAGTCCAGTGGCACCTTTCAGGCAGACAAAGTTTTATTAAAGGTATAAGCTTTTCGTGTGCAGGCACACTTCTTCCACTTCTGAGGAAGTGTGCATGCACGTGAAAAGTTATACCTTGAATAAAGTGTCATTGGATGCAAACTTTGTTCTACTGAAATACAGGCCTGCCTTTAGGGCCAGCTGTAATATTACATTCTCAGGCAGTGGGTCGAAATGAAGGCGAGTGCAACAACAAAGGGAAGGGGGGGGGAATGTGAACAATATCAGTAATATAAAATATTAATTTTCATTTCGAGAATATTGTTCTCCAGTGTGTATTGTATCCTGGTTTGTTGCCATCCTGTTTATTTAATGCCCAGCATGATGGGTCTTTTTCTTCTCAAGAGGCACCGTGTCCACATTAGCGACAAACACATTTTTTTGCCTTTTCTGTTGCTGGGGTTAGTAGATAAAGCCCCTTTGAATTTTTGAAGCTTTACATATTTGCATGAAGTGATCTAGACTATTCTACAGACAATCTCGGGAGCTATGTAGGGTCACTGCTGGTCAGTACTTAAGCGGGGAGAGCCCCGAGTATGTCAGGGTTGCCACACAGTCAGACAATGGCAAACCATCTGTTCCTCTCTTGCCTCGAAAGTCCTAGCGGGTCGCCATAAATCGGCTGCGACTTGGAAGGCGCTTCCCACGGAAGCCCTTCTGCCCTATGCTGCCCCGTACTCTTTATTCTGCCCTTTGCCCCGCATATGGCCGCAGCTGGTCGGCAACCAGAAGTGGTGGCGACCCGAACGACCGCATCGTCGAAGCCCCTTTGGTTCACACAGCCGAAGGCCCGCCGGAAACCGCTCACCGGACGGAGCCGAGGGCCTTCTTCTCTCGCTTTCCCTCCCGAAGAGCGGCTTGGCCGAGAGGAGCCGAGTGCTTCCGGAGACGGTGCGTGGTGGGCGGGGCTCGAGCGGCGTGAAAGAGAGCGGAGAGACGGAAGTTGCCGACGGTCTTCCGGGAAGGGCCGAAGGGGGCTGTCCGTTGCCGTCCGACCCACACGGAGACAGAAGCCCCCGCGGCGGGAGAAGCGGCGGCGCTCTGAGGCGGGGCGGCCCCGGGTGCTGGTCCCGCGTGGCTCTTTCGCCTCCCCTCCCTCCCCCGTCCCGCCCTGCCCCGTCCCTCTCTCCTCCCTCCTTTTCTCTGCTCTCGCCCACCCTCCA